AGGAATTATGGGTCCCAATTCTCCAGTGGTTGCATATGTGGACCTTGTGGGGCAGATAAGGTTGAAGCCAGCGAGCTTGGCCAATTTGGCCTGGGCCTTGTCTTCCGCAGGTGCGCACGAATCGGCTGCCTTGCTGCTGGATGTCTTTTAAAGAACCTCAATCAAGTTACCATACTGTTGATACAAAAAACCCTGCATGACCTTGGTATACTATAGTACCATTATTCCCGAGGTTTAGGGTACTTAAGGTCATGAAGGATTTTTAGTATCCACCGTAGTGTGGGTATGTAGGGTTTATCCAATGCTTAAGTTGTCGCAATAATGTGGGCATATAGTAAACAATAGGGTTTCCTCATCACTCATCACTGTAACTTGATTTAAGTTCCTTAGCAGCAGGCCATGAGCATCCTTACTACAACCCCAATATGTGCCATATCATAGATTAGTAGTTTCCATTTTCTTTTGCATGATCCTTATTTAACCTCAATATATTCCCCTGTTCCCTGCGAAGCCCAGAACCCTTCACCCAAAACCCTAATCCCTAAACTCTAAACTATAAACCCAGTAAAGCTCCTTATAAGCAACCCAGGCTGGCTGCGCAGCGCGAGCTTGCTAGAAGGCTACCAGATCTCAGCGAATGTCGGTCGCATCGTATCCCGTCCGCAGTTTCCCAAAGGATCCTAAGTACCTCCACGGTATAAAGTATAGAAAGTAGGGTCGCTGTACTAGGAGTTAGTATTATGATATGATCCTCTATGGTATAAAGTAGGGTGTCTCTACTAGGCATTAGTAACATGCTTTGGGTAAGTATCCCCTAAATAGGTACTTAGGATCCCTTGGGTCTTTGGTCTGGGTCTATACCAAGACTTTCCTAGTACCTTGTATTGGAGATATAGATATATTACCCCCAGTAGTGGCGACGTGGGCCCTATCAGAGGGTTGGTGGAGGGTCTAGGGACAGGGAAGCGCGCAGGGTGAGCAATTCTGAAGCTTGAGTTTCACCCTTGCGAAGTCCTACCCTAAGCCCTAAACCCTAAACTTCCTTAACCCTAAGCCCTAAACCCTAACTAAACCCTAAGCCCTAAAACCCTAAACCCTAACTGTATCTGCCAGTGGCTACTGGACCAAGGATGGCAGACGGAGTTTGTTGATGCCATGCTCACAATCCTCTGGTCAAGCACATTTGCTGGCGTTCTGGTGTCTTGGTTAGGGTTTAGGGGTTTAGGGTTTAGGGTTCAAGTGTCTTGGTTAGGTGGACCCCCCACCCAGTAATAGGGATTAATAGTTTATATAGGGATATTATCCCCCTAGAATGGAGAATCAAATGGAAAAGAAAATGCAAAATGAAATGGAAACTGGAGTATATGGGGTAATAGTGACTTTGAGGAATAGTAAGGATTAGATCAGGGTCCTCTTATATTCCTATTCTACCACTATTACAGGGTGGGGGGTCCTCCTAATGTCTTGGCCATGTCCAGGCTTAGGTGCACATTGAAATTGGGGTTTACAGAGGGATAATGGAAAAGAAAATGGAAACTACTAGAATATCATAGGGTATATAGGGTTATATTGGGGTTTACAGAGGGATCATGGAAAAGAAAATGGAAACTACTAGAATATCATAGGGTATATAGGGTTATATTGGGGTTATGTAGGGATAATGGAAAAGAAATGGAAACTAATAATACATCGCTTTCAAACTAGGATCGCAGTCTTTCAGGCTTCACAGCTACTATACGCGAAATGCGTCCATAGCATTTTACTGTATGCAAAACGTTGTGCTCACTTGAGCTGAATTGCAAACTGCCTCGTTTTATTGTAGAGCTCAAACATCGTGCAGAGTGACGAGCTCTAATTTCATTCCCCAGTTTGCAGCCCGTTAAAACAGAATCGGAGTACTACTAACTTGAAGCTTGGATGGCACTTTCTGGTTAGTTTAGTCTACTATAAACCCTCAGACCCCACGGCTAAGCCCGAAGCCCTACCCAGCCTTATGTAAACAGAGTCGGTTCTCACCCTGACTCCCAAACTCCAGCCAAACGTGGGCAAATGCTGGCATTGCTCAGGCAAAGTCCGTGGCGCGCCGCGCACGGAAGTTTCTTGGTAGAGTTGTTCTAAGCCCTTGTGAAGCAACCTTTTTTTGAGTTAGAAGACAGTTCGAGATTCCACATAAATTTCTAACTTCTTTGCGTCCTTGGGGGCCCAACCTCTGAACCCTAAGCCCTAAGACCCTAAACCCTAAAAGGTCTTTGGGAAACTTGTCAGCATGTTTGGATGGAGACTGCCATGCGGCGCCCCTCGTCATGCAAAACCATAGTCTTCCTTTGGTTGAAAAAAAGTATATGGGGATTGTCCTAAATTACTGTCAATTCGGGGTCCTACATTTAGGTTCCTATAAGTTTCCCCCATTTTGGGAACAGTAATTTAGGGAAACTTCCATATATAGGAGTCTACAAGGATTATTATGATTTTAGAGAGAGAGAGAGATATATATATATATATATGTATAGGGCCTTTTAGGGAGATATAAGGATAACACAATTAGGGCTGTGAGGGTTTGACATGGGGATTCTACAGGGATTAAGAACATGACCCCCAATAATGGAGTGGGCGTATAGGTATAGGGATTAGCGTTTCCCAACATATTGTGGCCCCCAAGATTTGGAGTCTATATTGTGTGTCCCCTAGATATGGAGACTACCAAATTCAAGTGTTTTATCTGCAGAAATGGACAGCCCCAAGAGATCCCAAGATATCAAGCATGACTGCGGCACAGCTGCACATCTTTGTTTTTGAGATCCACGCTTGCTCCTATGGCAAGGCACCTTTCAAAAGCTTCATGTTGAGGTCAGAGTTAGGGAACTTGAATTTAAGTTACCATAATGGGTAGAAATGCAGTAAAGGTAAGCTTTCCCCAATATAGTAACTTAATTTAAGTTCCTTAACAGCAACCCAGTAAATCATGAGTTGAGCTACAAGAAGGTCAAAGCGTTTTGCGGGTGATCTGCTCGAAGCTTCCGCATGAGCTACTTTGCATGATCCGCCAATCCCTGACACACTTCACTGCCCTTAGGTGAAAGGGTTTAGGGTTAAGGGTTTAGGGTGATGGTAGCCCATAAATCAGCCCAGCTTCTTAGGTTTCTATCATCATACTCGTCCCAAAACTACTTTCCCCTTGTTGCGAACCTCAATTCAGAAAACTCTCTGATCCCGAAATCCTTAACCCCAATCTCCGCGTTGAACTCAGGGCACTGGAGTTCCCTGTCAGTGAAGTGCGTGGGGTTGCAGACGAGCAGCCCTTCATTAAGGCAGCTGTGACAGAAGCTGGGCAGAAGTGATAGGGTGAAGGGCTTAGAGTTGCGGTGTAGGATTTGGGGTCTAGGACTTTAGGATTTCGCGTTTCTTACGTCTCGGGCCCTACGAAACACAGAGTTTTAGGGCAAAGTAGAAGCACAGGGCATATGGCATATGGTCTGAAATGAAAAGGCAGGTTCGGTAGAGTCCAAGTCCTTGGGGCTAGGGGTTTGGGGTTGCAGATATAGGGTTTGGGGCTTAGAGCTTACAATCCCCAATGTACTACTGACAGAGCCACTGTGCCATGCTTCATCAAAAATGTCTGGGTGCTGATCAGACAAGCCAGAATACAAGTGATGCAGACATCCGCCCAGAATGCTTGTTGAACCGCTCAAGATTATGTGCTTCGCTGCCAGAATTGAAGGTATCCTCGTAAAAGCTTTGATGCTAGCAGGAACAAGGCAACAGTAACATCCACCTGCTGACTGCCAAAAGATAGTACCAAGAATCTTCGGAACACTTTGTCATTGTGAGAAGTATGAGCACAATTGGGATGATGAGGGTGGTGCATCTCCCTTACCCCTACTCCCAAAAACTCCGAACCCCTAAATCCTAATCCCTAGTCCCAAAACCTCCAACCCCTTAGCCCAGGACATTCTGGTCATCTTTAAGCCACCGGGGTGGGAGGTGGACCTACAGCCAGAAGAGCAGAGGACTGCTGCAGCCTTCGAAAATGATCTTCGACTCTAACCCTAAAGGTCCAGGTACCTAAATAGTATGGAATTAGGGCCCAAAGTAAATACCTCCGTAGGAAGTCATTGGGCCCAAATTATCTACCATTTGAGTACCTTGACCCTTAGGATAACCAGAGGTTCATGGAACTACTAACTACTTGTTTCTGTGGTTTATGATCCCATGAAGAAGTAGGGTAATCTATGCCAATCCTGTTGAGCGGATTATAAATAGGGTTATAGCACCAGCTGTAGTAGTTGCGAAGTCCCATGAACTTCCAAGTGGTAGAAATTCGGGTGCTTAGACTGGAAAACGCTCTGATGCATCTCCCAAACACCAGGAACAACTCGAACTTGAAAGGGCCTCCAAGCCTGAGTGCCAGGAGCCAGGAGAAGGGGCGACTATCAGAATTCCTATTGAGAATGTATCCACGGTGGGGGCCTTCTACTCTACTGAGCGATGCTTCTAAGCAGCATGGCTTCCTTCATCGCTTGGACGTGCCCTCCTCGGGCTTGCTTCTGGCGGCTACAAACCACAGGGCGTACTATGACCTGCATTTTCAGATGGCTACGGGTGCCTTGGTCCGAGACTATGTGGTCATGAGCCATGGTTGGCTTTCGCCCAGGCGCCATGAAATCCAGGCTCCAGTCCACTGGTGGGATTCTGCTGCTATGGCAGAGGCTCCCAGCACCATCTTGGCCTCCGGGCGTGCGTCGAAAAGCTTTTTGAAGGTCCTGGCGTACTTGGGTAAAAGTGGCCTGGCCCTAAGCTTCCTGGCCATTCGCATCGGCACCGGGCGGCGCCACCAAATTCGAGCACATGCTGCTCACACAGGGCATGCACTTGTCACAGATGGAAAATATTCATCCAGCGCCGAGTATGCCGAAAGCTGCCCATGGTGTTCGCGCAACTTCCTGCACCGCTACCAGCTTTGCTTCGAAGACTTGCATGGTATTCAAGTGCAGGCAGCTGAGATACTTCCCTCCGACCTAACGGCAGCAGTCACCCAGACAACCGTCATGAGATCCGCGATGGACTTGCAATCCTGGACCCAGGGACCTGAGCCTATGCCTTGGGACTGTTGCCCTGTCCTTGAGTCGAAAAAGCAGGCGCAGCATGGTATAGTGTAAACCCTACAAAGTTTGTCACTTGCTCTAAGCCAGTGGCAACACGGTAATAGTGGAGGTAGCGATATAGGTTCAGTGCATAATTCCCCTTCTCCCCTTCCCGAGAACCAGTTGCCAGTTCCGGTACACTGCAGAGCTTTCCTGTTGCCGAGGCTCGTCCAGAGGAGGCCAGCAGCACAAAACATTTTCGCACAAGGTAAAAGCCGCAGAAAGCATTTTGTCGAAACCTGCAACTTCCTAGAAATATTCTTCTTTCGATCAAGAGGACCCTGCAATCTCAAACATTCTTCGAAAGCTACGCACAAGTGCGCAACTCAATCAAGAGGATACAGAAATTCCAAAAACCAGATCCTTGTTTCACCCGGGCTAACCAAAAGGCGCACCCCAAGTCTGAACCATTTCCATTTAAGTAAAACCACGCAAAATCACTACCTGACTGGAAAGCTAGTACGGGTGGGTCGTGCAAAGCAGTTTACTTTTCCACTGGTCTACGCCGCCCCACTATATCACCACTACTGTACCTACACTGGGTTTCTGCAAGCTGTTCGTCACAGATTGCACTGTAAGGTTACGAAGCCAGACGGTCGACAAGTGCATCTGGGCCCAGATTTTGTATTTTGAGTACCAGGGGTCCCCGGCTGGTGTTGGATTTCCGCTTCTCAGCCTTGAATGCATGATTGAGGGTTCAGATTTGAGGATGCACCGGGGTTTGTGTGGTGAATCCTGATTACTCGAAGATTATCTTGCATCAAGAAGGACAGTCTGCCACTGCACCGCAGACTCCTAAACAGGAATCCCTGCAACTGGGCCTAAAGACTTCCACATCCAAGTGCCAAATCAGAATTCAGACTTTGAGTTGAGTCACAACAGTCAAGTTCTTCAGCTCAAAACGGTAACTGTAAAACCCAACAGCAAATGCGAGCGTTTCAAAAAGATCCAAAAACACGTGATAGAAGGGGCCCTCTACAACCTGATAGAATCCACACAGATCTCTTGGGTTGCTGGGGCAGCACACCTCTAGTCCAAGAATTATTCAACATCTTGCAGCTGCACACCCCTTAATCTCAAAGGGCCCTGCAAAGTAGAATATGGGGGGTCCGAAGATAATCCCGACACCGTTTTTGAAGCGCTAATGGCGATCGCGGAAAGCCTTAACCCTAAACCTACCTGTGCTTAAGGGGGAGTGGGGGAGTTAATAGATGTACCATTCTAGAGATAGGGATTATTACAGGGGGATCCTCCCTAAAGCACCAGGAAGTAAACCCTAAACCCCTACATCCCTGCACGTCCACATCAACCCTGGGCCCAGGCTACAAATAAAAGTCCGAAGGCGGGGTCCCGATGGCAAGATTCACGAGGCGCTCCGGTAAGGAAAAAGCAATGTCATAACGAGGTTTAGGCACATACATGCTACCACCCCCAAAACCTACTTTTTATTGGAAAATCATAGCCTGCGCAGTAGGTTTGACTAATTGTCTACACTTTTTCTATGGTATATATCCTATAGAGTGCAGCATTACGCTATAGTACCCTTTCCTAAACTCCGAATTTTCCATAGTATAGCTTAAGTATTTTCGAGTTATTTGTCTTGGACTCTAAACCCTGAATCCTACATTCAAAGCCCTAAACCCTAAGTCCGAAACCCCAAACTCCAAACACCATGGACTATGAAACTTTCATAGTATAGCTTATTCATTATCGAGTTATTTGTCTTGGACTCCAAACCCTGAATCCTATACTC